GATGGGCGTAGATGAGAAGCTCCATCCAGTTGCGTTCTATTCTCGAAAATTCTCTACTGCTGAGATCAACTATGAGATCCACGATAAGGAACTCCTTGCTACAGTAGATTCTTTCCAAGAGTGGCGCCACTTTCTCGAAGGAAATGTACATCCAGTGACCGTATATACGGATCACAAGAATTTGGAGTATTTTATGTCGGCTCGGGTTTTGAATCGGCGTCAAGCTCGGTGGAGTATGTCGCTATCTAAGTTCGACTTTGTTATTACTTATCGGCCTGGGAAGCAACAAGGGTTGTCCGATGCATTATCAAGGAGATCATATCTCACGCCAAAGGCTGGAGATGCAGCATTTGATCAACAGTGCACGACATTGTTGAAGCCAGAGAAATTTTGACTCAACGCAGCTATTGTACCAATTGATGCTGACTTCCTCGACCAGGTACGGGCCGCAACCATTGAAGATTCTCTAGCCCTTGATATCAAGCAACATGCTAGTGATGATAAATTCATGATGGAAGGAGATCTAGTATATTTCGAAGAGCGGTTGTATATCCCAAAAGGGCCAACACGACTCCGAGTTCTTCAATCTCGTCATGACTTTCCAACTGCGGGACATTTTGGATTCAATAAGACCTTGGAACTTATTTCCCGTGATTTCTGGTGGCCTCAAATGTGGAAGGATGTGAAAGATTTTGTTGTATCTTGTGACATTTGTTCAAGATCCAAAAACCCTCGACATCGGCCTTATGGACTTCTACAGCCATTGCCTATTCCGCGCCGACCATGGTCTTCGGTTTCCATGGACTTTATTACGGATCTACCACCATCGAATTCATTTGACAGCATTTTTGTTGTCGTAGATCGGCTTACAAAGATGGCACATTTTGTCCCTTGCAAGAAGACATCGTCAAGCGAAGACACAGCAAGACTCTTTCTTGATAATGTGTATCGATATCATGGTCTACCAGATGATATCGTATCGGACCAAGGAACCCAGTTTGTGTCAAAGTTTTGGAAATCTCTTTTTGAGATATTGAAGGTGGATATGAAGCTTTCTTCGGCATTTCATCCTCAAACGGACGGCCAAACAGAACGAGTGAATCAAGTTTTAGAGCAATATTTATGTTGCACCATCAACTATCAACAAGATGATTGGGCCGCATATCTACCGCTAGCTGAGTTCGCATACAACAACACCCTTCATGCGTCAACTCAACAAACGCCATTCTTTTCTAATTATGGATACCATCCGAAGCTTGACTTATGGAGTTCGTCAACGATTAACAATCCGACAGCTGAAGGATTGGTGAAGGAGCTTTCGCAACTTCAAACTATATTGAAGCTTCAATTGCAAACTGCCCAAGAATCTTACAAGGCGTCCGCGGACAAATTTTGGAATCAGGCACCTAAATTCACGATTGGAGACAAAGTTTGGCTGCTTCGACGAAATATTAAGACCAAGCGGCCATGTGAAAAATTGGACTATAGGAGATTGGAACCATTTGTTATCCAGAAGCAGATCAATCTTGTAGCGTATCGTCTGGAGTTACCAGCTACTATGAAGGTACATCCTGTCTTTCATGTTTCTTTATTGGAGCCTTATTGAGAATTGTCTTTTCCTGGAAGAGTACAATGTCCACCACCTAGCATAGAAATAGAGAACCATGAAGAATACGAGGTGGAAAAGGTCCTGGATTCACGGCAAAGACGAGGTAAATTAGAATACTTTGTGCATTGGAGCGGTTACAATATTAATGAACGAACATGGGAGCCGGCCGAAAATCTCACGAATGCGCCGCAAAAGGTACAGGAGTTTCATCAACGATATCCTGAGAAATCCAAGCCGGTTCGACAATAGCTTCTTACTGAAGCTTGCTCATCCAGAAAACAGAAAAGAGGAGAGAGCACCACCAAAATCCATAGTTGATGTAGTCATTCTCTCCAAGATAGCATAGAACTTTGTTAGTAGCCCAAGTTTGTTCTTATTGTTTTAGCCTTTGAATATGGATAGCCAAGATACTACACTTGTCATGTCATCTCAAGCAACTAGCTCACGAAGACAACCGCGAGATGAAGAACCGCCTGCACCACGACGACGTCGAAGGATTCCGAGCAACAGATCGCTGGTGATTGTATTTGAGGTCGAGCCTGCCTACAATGGTCAGCCAGAAGGAGTGTTTGCAAGACAATTTCACAATGAAGACATGGAGGTTCATGCTTGGTCAGAAGTTGAAGGCGTGGGCCACTACCGTTGGCTTCAAGGACCATTGAATCACTTGCCTCGTGAACAACAATTGGAGTTCATAGCAGAGGTTATGCGACAGATCTTCATTTTCTTGCGTTGGTATTGACTGACGATAACATTGCTTCTCGGAGACCTCGAAGCTAAAGGAGGAGGTGATGTTAGGGACATAGTCCTTAGACCTTTCTAAAGACAAGTTTCTAGAACCTTCTAGAAAGAAGTCTCTAGAAACTTTCAGAAGATTCCTTAAATATTCTCTTAGAATATTCTTCAAAGATTTTCTAAAGATTCTTTGAAGATTCCCTTAGAAGGCTCTAGAAGATTCTTAGAATATTCTAGTAGATTCTAGGAAGTTACTTGAGAAGCTTCCTAGCTCTTGGGTAGTTGCTCGAGAAGCTTCATAGTTCTTGGGAAGCTTCTTGATGCGCTTCCTTAGAACCATAGGCCAGTAGTATATATAGGAGTCGAGGCTGAAGAGTTCTTCAGTCTCGACAACACATCTCTTGGAGTTCTAGCTCACCTTTTTGGTGTTGTTCTTGTACTCATCTGTTTAATCTAGTTCTGCCACTTCTTCTTGAACTTCTTGTTAGATTTCAAGTCTGTATTTTGTGTCCGTGACACTAATGTATATTAGACGAATCTTGCAAAGATTTAATATGATTGATGCTTATCCATTGTCCATACCAATGGTTGGACGTGGTTGTGATGGTCATGATCCATACTGTCCATGCAAAGAGAAGGAGGAAATATTGGGAGACCAATATCCATACCTTGTAGCGGTTGGAGCACTTTTGTATTTAACTACATCTATAAGACCAGATATTGCATTTACAATTAGTGTTCTTACAAGACATAGTGCACATCCAACACTACGACATTGGAATGGCATCAAACATTTATTACGTTATTTAAAAGGTATTGAAGACTTGGGATTATACTACACATAATCCACAAATCCAAAATTGGTTGGATATTGTGATGCAGGATATAAATCTGATATTGCAAGAGCTAAATCTCAAACAAGATATGTATTCTTAAGACATGGAGGTGCAATATCATGGAAATCAGTGAAACAAACAATAACTATAACTTCATCCAACCATACAGAAATTATTGCCTTACATGAAGCATCTCAAGAATGTATTTGGTTGCGATCAATTGATAAATTCATTCAAACAACCTGTGGATTTTCATATGATAATTTTCCAACTATTTTGCATGAAGATAATAGTGCTTGTATTGCTCAGATGCAAGTTGGTTTCATTAAAGGCAACATGACAAAGCATATTGATCCAAAGTATTTTAGTTATACCCATGACTTAAATACTGATCAAGAACTTATAATTAAGAAAATTGAATCTACAAATAACCTTGTTGATCTCTTCACCAAAGCTCTCCTATTAAGCAACCATTGTCGACTTACTTATGGCATTGGTATGCAGCGACTTGCTCTTCTTGAATAAGAAAGTTAATGAGCTCTTTAAATAATTAAAGAAAATGATGTTGTACTCTTTTTCCTTCATCTATGATTTTGCCCTTAAATAAAATAAGGTTTTCTTACATAAGGTTTTAATGAGGCAACAATTACTGATCTTGCAAGATCACAGAAAAGTATAGATCATAATTCTATAAATTTTTTATATTATGTAAATATTATGATGAGCGAGGAGGAGTGTTGAGATCATTAAATATATCCAGCACCCTCCATAATATTTACTATAGAATATAGTAAATACTATAGCTATAGTATTTAGAGTCTAGTGGAGAAGTATTGTTTATCCTCTTCTCTTTTCTCTTCTTGTATATGAGACACAACCAAATCAACACATTTTTATGTATGAAGCTCTCTCTCCTTAGAAACCCTCTTGTGTGTATGACTTACTATTACTCTTATGTCTCTCTAAACATTCTCAACAGAAATAAGTTTCAATTGGCATTCGAACCTTTATCATTCACCACTCTATCATGGCGGAGGGTATGTGGCATGAGGGCATACCGGCCACATGCCGAAGTGCAGAGGTTCGACGGCGCACGTGATGAGAATGACATGACATGCAAGGTCACACGACGAACAGAAACGCGTGGAGATTTGATTAGCGAATGCGATTACCGAAGACGAGAGACGTAGGCAAGGTTCTCGGTGAGTATGGAGAATGAAAAGAATGAAAGGGTTAAAAAGTCAACTTCAGAGTGGCTTCGTCGTGCGAATTTATTCAATCACCTGCTCTCACAACCTTCACAAGCTTGTACCTATTGCTGTCGTGGCAAGTGAAATGAAACAAACGGTCCACATCCTCATGTTAAGCAGGCACAACACCAGGCGGTAAGAAATGGACGCATGCTAATTCTAATCACCTTGAAACCAGCGATAGACAGTCTGTCCGACTAAATGCTATCATCCCCCGCAACCAGAACGTGCTGGTTCCTCTGGGCAAGCTCTCCGTGAATGGCACATCTCCGAGGAAATGTTGCCCCATCCTAAGACTATGCCGGTCTCTCATGCACCACGAAGAACATGACAAGACACGGCAAAGGGTCCCCCCCCCCCACCTTGCAGCCTGGCTCTCAAGTTATTCGTGAAAAATTTCCCTCCATCTCTCTCAAATTGTGGCACTCAAATTAAATTTAAGAAAACTAAACCCCGAGTTAAGTGAAAATGGTAAGTGCCGCGTCGTCGCAATTGTTCATCCGTATATTTCATCTACTTTGTTCATCTACCCAAGCATCTCGGCGCTGAAGTCATGGTCCCGTCAAATCCTTGCTTGAGCTTCATTGCTTTTGGTGGTTCGCAGACGCATCAACTGGTTTGTGGAGCGCTTGCATTGTCCTTGGAATTATCTGAAGTTGGCGAGAGATCGGCGAAACTTTTCTGAAATTTTTCGGAGGCAAATTTTACAGAGAGAGTGCGTCACGTGTTTGACACTGTCTGGCAGGCTTGAGTTATGCCCAGTTTTTATGCAATAAACCTTGCGAAGGTCTCTGGAGAAGGTGGTTAGATTTCTTTGAGGGGGAGCTAGCATACACTGAGTTTCAAGCAGGTGGATGGCGATGGCGTTAGGAGCAGGATGGACGCCGGATGCTGGAAGCGTAGGCTGGGATGAATTGCGTAAGCAGGTATGCAGCTGTACCTCATCAGGTACATGTGTCCCCCGTGCATTCACGGTTTCGCAGGATGGAATGTGCCGTATTTTGTGTTTGAAGCTGAAGTTTGTCAGCGGATTGTTAATCGCACATGGAGATTGCTGCGGCAGTTTCCGCCTCGATTCCTAGGTAGAGGGCACTTGAAGTTCCTACTTTACGATTCCGAGTCCTCTTCTGCGACTGTCTATTGCTGTTGTGGAGACCCGTCCTCTTGGGAGATTGTTCGTACGTGGAGAGAGGCGAGATCTTCACTTGGTGTTGTTTATTCAGCTTCTCTAGTGTTTTCATCCGCCCTTGCACAAAAGTTAGTGTGATGCCCTGTAGTCCGTCAATCTCCTCTTAACCCTATCCAATGGCCTCTTCGTAATCACTTCGTCGTTTTTATCTTCCTTATTAAGTTCGAATAGTCAACAAACGTATTCAGCTTATTTTAGTGGTTGCTTGAATGACGAGAATAGGGTTCATATCTACGGTAGCTTGTTCAGAATTGCATGAGAAGTGGACGATGCAACTGCTTGGGAAGAGATATTGATCTGGGATGACTGGATAAGTGCAGGCGAGGAGACTAGAAAGCGAGCTGGACGTGAAACTTGCATCATTTCAGAGAGGTCAGAATGCTCCAGCAGTTGATGGCCAAACTGATGGAAACGAGGTGGAAATTGAAAGATTGCTACAACATCTGAACGACGTTAATGTGCGCATGCAGAACTGGGTGTCGGATGCAGGTTCCGATGTCCTGTCGCACACACTTGTGCGGCACCAGAATATTTTGCATGAATTGAGTCAGGTGAGTGCATGAGGATTTAGGGTAAAACTTTCTATCATCTTGGCATTTTTTATGCTCTCATACATTCGTTTGTACTTAAGAAGGTTGGGCATGATAAGTACAAACGAATGTATGAGAGCATAAGAAGACAAAATGGATGTCATCCTTCCTTTCAAACATGGCCGCTGGTGAAGCTTTGGGAGATTTCGTGACGTCTTAGGACATTAGGGCCATTTTAGGCAAATATGGCTGAGAACCGTGTGGAGTACCGTCCTAGTGTGTTGGATCTAGTAAAGTAAAGTTTTTTTTTTTTTTTTTTTTTTTTGTTGGGTCTTTTTTTGTATTTGGAATTTTTAGCGCGGGTGCTGGTAGCTTGGACTTTCCCCCTCTGTTTGAGGGGCTTTGCTACGGTCCAAACTTCACAGAGAGGACTGTTGTTTTTAAAAATGCTGTTACCAACATCTTGATATTGTTTTTGTTTTCCTTGGCAATTGGAGAGGTGCAACTGAAACGATGATGACGATTACTGACGAATACTTACCTTCGCAATGTCTTCTCATGCCCTCTCTTAGGAATTTGCAAGAATACGTGTCACTGCGAATGCTAATCGAGAACGCGCACAGCTTCTACAACACTTCGGCGGGACTGGTGAGAGTAAGGGCTTTCTGGATGACCGGGGTAACGGATTACAATCTTTATTTCGCGAGCAAGCGAATATTAACAGAAGTACAGCCCAGGTAATGTAACAGAAGTAAATTAGTGTATGCTAGCTCTGAGGGCGACTTGCCTGGAGTTTATCAAGATCCACTTCTCTTAAAGCTTCGCTGGCGCATTTATATTATCAGTGACAGGTTGTGAATAAACTTGAAGTTTAATGAAGCTTAACTAATCATCAACAATCCGTTTCTCCCCGTCGTGTTGGATTTTGGATTGATGAGGTTGTTTTTGTTTTGACAATTCTTCTGTGCAGATCGATTCTGTAATCGGACATGCTCAGGAAACGTACACTGCCTTGAGGTATCAAAGGTCTACCTTTAGGGATATAACCTCCAAAATTGGTGCGATCAGCACCAGAATGCCCTCGGTAAGCTTTGGAACCTGTATGGTATCGATTCGTTGGCATTAATACATGGCTGGTGTGTCGTAAGGTTGGTATTTTATTCTTGCGATGGACTTGTTGCAGGTTAATAAAGTTTTGACTGCAATCCGACGTCGAAAGTCTCGTGACACGTTCATTGTTGGAGCGGTGACGGTCTTTTGCCTCGTTATGCTCCTCTTGTACTGGGTTGCAAAATGATTTAGGTCCAGATACGCATCTCGAGGATTCGACATTTCATTTTACTCTCCTACACAAGCACATTAGCTGTACTTCTATTCAACACATTTCTCGTCCGCCATATCTAGCCAGGTAACCTCAATAGAATCATCGAAACATGTTCGGAGGAGAGTTCGTGTCGAAGGGTTTTACGCAGACTTGGCGACTGACAGCGAGCTAAACATCGCAAATTTTCTGATACTCCCTTTCAGGATTTTAACGCGCTTGAGGATTTGGCCACCACTGTGACTCGCCAAAGCTGGTCGCTTTGACTAATCAGAGTTACTTTGCTATCTTCAGTCTGATTTTAAGCTTTGTAACACAATCAATATTGAGGGTAGACTCAAAATATGTGAAGAGTCTGCATTTATGACGTCCAACAAGTATGACTGAGATGGTGTTGTAGACCTGTAACAGTGGACAGTTGAAGTGAAGTGCTAAGCACATGAGTTAGTCTTTATTATTGCCATGTCATTATCAAACAAGACATGTATTCTTATGCTTATAAGTATTATTATGAACTTGCAAAACAGTGTTCTGAGTATTTTTGAAAAGCACCGCAACTTTTTCTACACTAACATCACCGTTTTATGTGTCATTCTTTGCTTTATTAATGTATTGAATTCTTTACTGCATTGGCTCAATGAATCTCATTATTTTCTTCAGACATAATTAGAACAAAGTTATAAGTTCCATACTAATACTTTATTTTGTTTTACTTTTATTTTTTAATGCAATCCATAAAATTTAAAGGATACAATTTTCCCACGCATGTACACATGCTGGTTTGGTAGGACTCAATTACTGTGACAATGCTAAGATCCGTGCATGTATGTATAGGGTTTCAAACTCCAGGATGTTTTGCTGTGAAAATATTTTCATGAGGCTAAGACTGTTGGTAGGATGGGACTGTAGTATTGACTTCAGTCTTTAAACAACCTTTTTTCTCATCCTTCTACGTGACTCTTCATCTCAAATACTTGGCTACAAGATAATCTTAGTCACGTGTTGTTTCATTCTCATCTCGAAAATGCAGGTGTTGTTTAGCATGATAGGTGTACAGGTGCGCGTGATCTACCTCATCCTTGATATTTGTAAGTTGCGATTTCAAAACGACGCAGGCTTGTGGCTTCCGGTATGGCTACTGAGGCAGCTCTCTCGTTCAGCACGTCAGCAAGTCGTCCCGATCGCATTTGTCTGTTGAGCCCTCAAGACGGCAGTGGAAATCTTCTTGGTAAGAACTACGTGCGGGTGAGTTCTGGGAAGAAGCAATCCGTGACGGTGGGAACTGCCAGAAGCGACAGTGATCCGCTCACTCTAAGCGACAGTAAACCAAGCTCAGCTTTTCGTCTGGATCGAAGTGCCATAGCAAGCTCACAGTTACAGAATAACGAGCGTTTGCTTGGTGATAATGAGGTCATACGCATCGTAGCCGACACAAGGCCGGAAGATCGCCAGGAGAAGATTCAGAGTGCATTCCTGCCCTGCGATGTTATTGGGTATCGCGGTGCCCCATCCCGCGGTTCAATCGCTTTGCATACATTGGATGTGTATCTACATCTGGCATCAAGGATCTGTGATGAAGTGGACTCGGCTTTCAGGGCATGCAACTCCAAGAAGCCGCTGCGCTTATCCTCAACTTCTTGGGATCTCCTGGATTGATGAATTGAGTGAGGAGTCATGTTGACATGAAATCGATCTAGAATCCCACAAGAAGATGAGACTGTTTTTCATGTTTGGAATTAGAAACCGTCGCACTTGGGTGGGGCAACAAATATACAGGTAGACATACCCGAGCTCCTCAGCATGTTTACGGAGTTCCTCATTTCCATGAACCCACTGCACAGTGGGTCACATCCACCTGCACCTGATTGCTCGAGTCCTAATTTCGTTGCCTGACATACAAATGTAAAAATTGGAAAGCAGATGGTGAAAACTTAATGCTGTTCACGTAGGTCTCTTTGAGTCCCGCATCATTCCTTGTGTGCAGTACCGGGACATCTAACAGTCATGCTCCGAAAAGAAGTTTTTCTTCCTGTCCTAACATCTGGTGAGTGGTTAGGTATCAATTAGTGTAGGAATCATATGCAGGACACGTCACAATATGCATTGAACTTTGTGTAAGCAGGGTAGAGACACTAAATACCACAACTCAGTCAATAACAAACTCTAGTATACAATCACTTATTGAGCCCCTCCGATGCAGATCATTTAACTTTCCATTTTAAGAAGCAAAATTCGCTAAATGCACAACAGTAGTCCTGGCCAAATTTTAATTGTTAGAAAAATGGTGCCTCTGATCAACTCAGAGGTAGGAAACTCTAGCTGGTTTTCTAAAAATGAAACAATTATGAAAAAATCAAACAAAATCAGAAAATCGAAACAAACGCATGGAAATAGAACTGGTCAAACATGGTCCAAATACCATTACTGAATTCCAATCAAATAGCAAAGCCTGAGGAATAAAATTAAGCAAACTGTCAAACGATTTAACGAATTGCAACAAAATTTGATTCTCAAAGTTAAACCCCTCAAAGTGATAATTACGCTCTGTATCAGGATTGAAAGATCACTTACCGTCAACCACCAAACGAATTCCCTCAGCAGTGTTCTAATCAAGAGACAACAAATGATTACCACTGTGTGGCGTCAAGCTGATTCACCACAGCGTCTAACAATGAGCTTCCTGTAACCGTAATGTAAAACCACTTCGAACTACCTTCCATGACTTCAACTATTTCACTAATATCAAATTTAGAGAAGCAACTGGTGCTTGCTTTAAATTTAAACCAAAGAATTGAGTAATGGATTATGACCTAACCAACCTGTAGGAGACACCCGCTCTCATAGAACTCACGATCCTCAACTCTGACCGTAGGAAATCTTTTTTTATCGCCTTAGCTTTCCTCGTATGTGCTCTCAAATTGTGGGGTAATATCCTGGCCTAACCGTCAAAACTATGTTGGTGGCTGGAACAAGGGATGGGTTGTCAAGGCTAAGTTGCGGCAGCTACATGCTCCCTGCTTTGCTCTTCAGCATCACCATCGACAGCAATATGATCTTGCTCAGTGGGTACATCTACTTCACCGCTGTGTTGTACGTTATCTCCATATTCTTGCTCTTGACCATCTTCCTTTGGTATCTCAGTTTGGGCTCCATGAACCCAGTTGTTCCTCTTTTGTACTCTTGCAATAATATCTTTAGTGGCAGCTAACCGGGGATCATCTTCAGGAACTTTCCTTGACTGCATAGGACACCATGTCATGAAAATAATTAGTAAATTTATCATTTCCACATGAAAAATCACGGCTACACGAACGGATTCGCTAAAACTACATCCTGAGATTATAAAGAATGAGAACATTAAAAAGATGAAACCACAGTGAGGAAGGACTTGGAAATGTAGCAAAGAAATATACAAAAAGCAAGGTGTTGAGGCTGACATGCAAGCCATTGCTATAGGAGGTAATAGACTTGATGGAGGGTCGTAAATTGCGCTTATGCATCATATCCCAAATTGTATTTGCAGTAGAAAAGTCTCCTACCTGCAACATTTATATGACCTGGAATCAGACCTCCAGCATACAAACAAACTGACTACCTGGCTTTCATTAGAAAACCACACACTATCATTATAAAAAATATCAAACACCGTAGATGTACCATATCCAATGAAGCCAGGAAGAGGAAGTTGGATCCAATAGCCGTGTTCAAGAAGAATCCCTTTTCATCCATTCGATCCTGGGAATAGAAAAAACAGACACACAAGAAGTCAGGGTCAAATCCTAACCAAAGAGCAAGTGTTCTACGGAACAAAATAGTGCTTCATTTTGCTACAACAGCTAGACAAACGCACCAGAAGCTTTCTGGCAGCTGCCATGTTGGCCGGGGTCCGCTGTTGGAGGCACCTTTCTATCAATGTCTGCATCAGTCAAATGGGCGAATTAAGAAACACTCGCTAAATTGATTGAAGCTGAACAAAACATCTTTCAACAACTACATGAAAAGTCTAAAAATAGGATATATGGAGTTAATCGAGGAAAATCAATTTCCGACAATTTTGTGAATAGTTGAAAAAATAAAAGTTATGGGATTAATCCAAGAAATTTCACTTACAACAAAAAGACTTAATGACGGATTCTTGCCAGAATCAATGTACTCATTCATAACTTGAACAGCTTTCTCCATTTGACCACGCCCAATGTAAGCCCTTCAAAAGAAAATTCACCACATAGTGTTAGTTCCACGAGTGATACAAGGACAACCAAATAGGAGAGGAGATGATATGTACTCATTCGTTATTGAATTAAAATATTCCTCTCAGAACTCCTCAAGGGTCGAACTTACTTGACAAGTTCAGCTATACAGGTAGCATCGACTTGATGTTTATCATTCTTAAGCATTTCAATAATCCTCTCCACTGCCTGTAGCCAACCACAAAATGTATCAATAAGTTGCTGGTTATGGCACTTCGATTCATATTAAAAAAAAATGTAGTAGAAAGGCCACACCATGTATACATAAGCTCTGAACTGCAATTTCACCCTCAAACGCCCAGTCATCGGATATCCAGTGTACTAGAAGATCAATCTGGTTACAAGGAGAATTTGATATAAAAAGATTCACTTATAAAAGTGAAAATAATCTTGCAAGTATCTCAAATTTGGACGGCGATTTAATAGAAAATCACAAGATAAAATGCCACTAATTCCATTAAATTTTCGATTTGTACTATCCACCAACCTCAATGTTTCCCAACGCTCCACAAGCCCGCAGTGCAGAGTAATAGACATTGAGTCGACGATTGACATAACTTCGGGTAGGCTGAAGACCTCCTCCCGTCACAAGATTTGCCAGCTCTTCCTCGAAATCATCTCGACCTTCTCCATCACCTGCCACTGCGTCGGCACCCTTTGACTTCTCCAGAAGTTCAAATATCTGTAAAATGAGCGCGCATCACTGTCAGCGGGCGCAGTATACGTGAAACAAATGATAAGATGATGTTACAATAGAATCAGACTGAACCTTTTGAAGGAGATATCAGGGGAACAACATCATAAAATATCATGCTGACCTTCTGAAATGTCGTTTGATTGATGGGGCGGCTGTTCTTATGAGCTTGAATAAGCGCAGCATAGCATGAGCTGTTTAGGGTCAAGCCATATGCTGCCATCCTCTGCACCACACCATAACTGCAGGACAAATTACAGAGTCTAAACGGAGCCACTTCTAAAGATACTTAACAATAAATTGATTGTGGTTGCAGACCATGAGCCTTTTTGTATTCACGAGGGTTAATATTACGCTAACATGAAGGAAGAAATGTACCAGGGGAGCAAGAGAGGGAGAAAAAACCTTCGTATTACTAAATTTTTAACACACAATCAGAAGAACGATCCGGGAAGATAGCTTGATGTACTTGTAAGAAAGCAGGGTAAATAGACATACGCTTCTTCTACCCGACCAGCTGTGCCGCACGCATTCAACAAAGCAAGGAAAGTGCGATCGGTTGGCTTGATCCCAGTTGCTTCCATCTCTGCTGCCACCTGATAACGCCAATCATGATAATGGAGCAAATTTTAACGAAAAGGAATAATGGCAAGGGTAACATCTGAACTTCAAAATGACCTTCATTCCAAGTCCTTAATCAAATCTCCAACATGATCATTTCAGCAATGCAGCGACAGGATGCACTTCCCTATCTGCAAAGACAATATAGTCATTTAAATAAACCTTCAAAATCACTTCGTATAAGCAAACCTGAAAAGCACGTTCAATTTGGTTGGCTTGTCCACATGTTGAGATAATACAGTTGTAGAGCACAATCTGAACAGAGCCACAAATTTTGCTCGAACAGTCAGAACATCGGTGTCCATAAATTACCTCGTCACATCTGTATATGCAGATCCTAGAAAAATTATGAATACCCCAAAAAAATTATGAATAATGTGTGTGTGTGTGTGAGAGAGAGAGAGAGAGAGAGAGAGAGTTTTTGTAGGTGAAAGGGGGAGGGAGATGATGGTGTATATATATATATATATATTGTAAGCCTGCACTTACATCAGGTTGAAGACCCATGGCTTTCATTTCATCAAAAAAATAAACAGCATCCTGCAGTCTTTGACTTTTCATGCAACCAGTGATTAGAGTGTGGAAAGTGTTGCGGATTGGCCGTACTCCATCCAGTTGCATATCTTCATACACATCCCGCATCAAGTACGACCTGCAGGTACTTAACAAGTGAGAACGACCTAATCAGTTTATGTCAGCAGACGTGGAGGAGATTGTACTAGAATGCAGGATTTAAATAAATAAGAAAAAATAAACAGTTAAAAGATGCGACAATTACCGCTTGCTATAATTCAGTTCGTCTAGGACCTTGTTATATTCATAGATGCTGTTAGCATAGTTACGCATTGCATGAACCGCTGCATTCTGACCGGTAGAGTAACACCGGACACCGAAAGCCGCTTGATCATCCCTGTTTATAGGTATTCACATAATTTCTAGATTCAGCAACGTGAAAAAGCAACGTTCTGATTCCTAAACGTGCAAAAATGAAACAGAACGACGCAGAAGACAATGAATCCTAAAGCCTCACAGGCATTTTATTGGCATGAAAGTGTCTGGTGCACAACGGTGGCTACACGGCAAAGAATCAATTGAATTTTTTCTGACGATCTGCAGGCCTTTCAAACCTGTGAAATGCTGCACACGCTGGAGAACCCGAAGTGGCTAACTGCAAAATGTAAATAATACTCACATCAGCATGAAGAGTGAAAAGCATGCCATTGCGGCGATGACTCACAATAGATACTGAAGCTGAATGTAATCGTGTGGAAGCTCTATCTATTTTCAGCAAAATATGAAATAGAAACTTAATTTTCATGCCCCTTCTCCACACATACACCTAATAACTAAAGAGAGAGAGAGTTAAAAGTTAAAAAAGGAAGGGAAAGGAGGAGTTGGAGGAGAATCAGAACCCGGAAAACAGAATCTGAACCTCATAGAGAATTCCATAAGAAAAACCTTACACCCACCACCAAAAGCCCTGAACCCTAAAATCCTAAATCTGACAATAGTGAGTAAGTAACAACACTACAAATCCCAAAAAGCCTGAAATGGACGAATCCCAACAGGAAATTCCGAATCCACTTATTCTTGAAGAAATCCATCTCCCGATCACCAGAGGCCAAACAACACCGGTAAGACAACCTGACGTCGCTAAATGCACTCGAAGTTTCTAACCACCAAATGCAACTGCGATCTATCCCTGTAAAATGCCAAAACATACCTCCTCAGTAGCTGCAAAGCTCCCTAGTCCATGTGAAGGCCCACGATAAGTCGCAACACGCGCTAGGCGCTGCACCACCGCCCGCCTCATGTCTCCCGGACTAGTTCTTCTCGACCTCACTCAATGATCGAAATTGATGCAAAAACGCTGGAGAAGGCTGCGCCGAACACAAAAACTCTTCTAACCTCGACAAGGCAAGCAGTGCAAACAAGCGCAGGAGTCAAGAGTCCCAACAGACATGTGAACGAATGTATATACTTGTCTGGATGAACAAACCAGGGTTTAAGGCCAGGGATGCCGACGTAGACCCTCTTCAACTGTGCGTGTGTTGGTGCAGTTTTCTACGATTGATTCATGATTTCGGCAAAGAATCGTAGCGGCCAAGAGTTTTGAGCTTGAAACCCAGTTGATATGATGGACTCTTCTCATTCCAAAACTCTATTTCAAGGATTGTACTTATTTGATTGAAATTCATGCGATCAGTTTCGTTGAGATCTTGCACCAGCTCGCTATGGCATCTACACGCCTTCGGTGCTTGAAGCAGCTGCGATCACATTATAACGTTGCTTCTTATTCTTCAGGGTCTGCCAGGTTCCGAAACTCGCACGGTAAGGATTTGTGAATCTTCTGTTTCAGTTCCAGTTAAAGAGATTCTTTCACTACTTTGGAATTGGAACACGACCTAATCCTTGATGAAGTTGATTAGGGCTGCCTATTTTATTCCTTGAACCACGATATGGACCTTGGATTTTGACGATCACAGTGTAGAATTGGGATGTTATGGCTATTCATGTGAAGTATTTGTTGGGGCTTTGAATTTGAAATTTGAATGTACGTTCTCTTGCGTACATTTATCCTCTTGCCACTTATCTTTTATCCTTACAGAAATGGTCGAATTGTGCTTGCCTTGAGAGCAACCTTTCTCAAACTTCATACAAGTGAAGTATTCGTTTTGTGTATTGACTAAACGACCATTTCATACAGAGATATCCAGGAAAGTCTGTTTCATTATGTCTTTGTCGTAATATCAGGTAATCGGAACTAGTGAATTGTAAAATTTTGGTACAAGTTTGGTTTGAATGGCAAGTTTGTGATTTTATTCTTTGCAGGGACTCAAACTCGGAAAGCCGATGACCAAGGGCCTAGAGATTGGTTAGATCGAACTTCAGGTCGTTCATTGCCACGTAGGGTGCAAAGTGGACATGATACACATGAGAAAAGAAAGAGTGTATCGCCAACAAGTGGCGTAAAGAACGAGTATAATAATTCTAATTCGTATGAGAGTAAGTGTTGAAATAACCTCGCAGATATATCTGGAATTATTTGATGGAAAGTCTCACAAGCTTCAAACCTTGAGAGGGTTGCTTAATTGACATGTTTTATTGCTTTTTCAGGGGCCAAGTCTTGGAATCCTGAGTACCAGGACCCTCCTGATCGGTCCAGTTCGAATTCAAGTCGTACAGTGCTGCACAGAACGCAAAGTGGACACAATTCACGTGAGAGGACTACGTCTTCGTCATTGATTATTGGTGACAAGCGCCAAAAGAACAGTACCACTTTGAGTGAAAGTAAGCACCGTAAATTCTTACAGAACAAGAGGGCTAAAGCAACCAGTCAGTTAGCTTCGTTCAGTTGAAGCCACTCGTACATTGCGCCTTTCATGATGGGTTCAAATTGGACACTGGCATCAATATATTTGGCTATATCTATAAAGAGGAATGTATGATGCCTTTTGCAGGTGAATCAGAGCCGGTGCCCTTTATGACTGAAGATTTTTGTGATCACCGGGCCATGCAGATTGTGTTTTTAGGCACCTCATCATCCATGCCTACCTTGAGTCGGAACACGTCCTCCATAGCACTGCGCTTAGGTCAGTCTTGATTTAACTTTCTTGGTAACTTCCTTATTGATATCCTCAGAGTTTGTTTTATTTCTCACCAGTTTCATGTGTGGAATGCTGAATTGTAACAAATTTCCGAAAAATATTCTCATTGAGGCATTTGTTAAATTTTGTCACAGGCTTCTTCCTTTTTACTTGTTATGTGAACAGCTGCTTTCCAGCCTTTGACAGATTTGATATTGTCCTGGTTTCTAATTTTCCTGTTACTGGTTTTGTACCTTGCTTTCTTAGATGATTGTTGGCAGTATAAGTTTAATGAGTATGGTTCGTTGTTGGTTATCAGATGGCACGATATACATGTTTGATTGTGGAGAAGGTGTGCAGCGACAATTGCACCGTACCCCGTTTCGGCATCGAACAATCGACAATATTTTCATCACCCACATGCATGGCGACCATGTATCCATAAGTGTGATACACAAGTTTGTGCGATCATGTCTTAGATGTACAGCATGTGAAAATTTTAGCTGTTAATTCTTTTAATCAAGTATTAAAAGGGGTGTCATATAGTTTTCGTATTCCAAGTTGCTCCTTAATCCAAGGATTCGTCTCGTTTCTCCAGATATTCGGACTCCCAGGTGTGCACTGATCCCTTGACTTTCAAAAGTATTTTTCGACTATTGAAATTATCCTGTGTCTAAGCCTTTGATAGCCCGTAAGTTCCATAATTAGGAAGTCTAGATAATGGGATTCTGTTTTGTGTAAATTTTTTGGATGATGTGATTTTTATATCCTGTGATGTAAACTCCATAAATATCTCTACTTTTTTATGATTTGGGATATCCACTCGAGCCATGAGAAATTAGTAATTTATTTTGTGCATATTTTGTAGGAAGGCCTTCTGTGCATGATAGGTATGACAGCACCATCAACCCGGGAGCCCATTGAGATTTTTGGTCCCCCAGGTTTAAGGCAATGGATTCGAACTACTTTAAAATTGGCCCATGCCCGTGTGCCCATCAAGTATACCGTTCACGAGCTTGTGCTACAAGAGGTGACATTGCGTGAACAAATGTGATGTTTCAATTGGAGAATCTGATTTATTGATGGTCATCTATGTGAATGCAAAGAGACTTTTTACCGTTTTTTTCTGATTGTACTCTTCCTGCTTCCGATGCATTCTGATACCTGTTCGTGATATTATTTTTTCTATAACATATTTTCCCCTCTGCAGGGGAAACGAAAGAGAATCAATAATAAATGGAATGTAAATGATGAAATGCACGAGGATGAGCTACCTGGAAGAGATATCCTATGCTCTCAGGATGACGGCTTGTGGCGTGTGTAAGTTAGCTGCTGTGCATAAGACTTCAACTTGTTTGCAAAAAAATTGCTTTTAATCTTTGACAGGTAGAACTTAGTGCATACATCTTTAGCAGCTTTAGGCTTGCTAAATCATACCTAAATCTATGCACGTGTGGACAATGTTGCACTTCGTTTTCCTTTTCTTGTTAGTACCAATGTAAACGTTTTTGATGTCTAGTAATTCAGTTCTGAATGTTGAAGTCAAACGCATTGGACAATGTTTATGATAAACATACGTGAGTGGGAATGTATGTTTAGGTTTATGTACACGTTCATATTTTGAATATGAATATAATTTGTCTCATTCCTCAATAAATTCCTCTGTACCCTTCAGGCACGAAGACAAAAAGTACGTGGTTGTTGCAGGCTTGCTTAAGCACTCCATTCCTTGTTGGGGTTACGTTGTGGAGGAACAGCCTCGTACTGGCAGGTGCTCTTTGTCAAGGCTTTTGAAAACATTATCTCCCATACCTGTAGATCTCAGCTCTTGTTCAGTTGATACCAGCTAGAACCCTTTAGGCTACAGTCATGTTCATAGTTTGTTTGTCCGTTTACACTTGAGATATCATAAATTCGTAGTTGTATTCTGCATTTAGCGATCTATCATACATATCATGTTGATCATGGCTTCTACTGCATTAGGTTTGATGTACATCGAGCAAAGGAGCTCGGGGTTCTACCAGGCCCCATGTATGCGAAGTTACAGGAAGGGCATTCAGTCACACTTAAAGATGGCAGTACGGTAAGTTTGAGTTGGAAGTGTTTTGGAACCCGCCTTAAACCCGCGGCATCTTAAGTTTTTTAAAGCCCTTTATATTGCGTAGCAACGGAAGTCATTTTTATTGAAGCACATCCGCAATCCCTACCTATGTCTTTTTTCACCTCTGGAATTCATGGATGGAATACCAGTTATGTACGTAGTGTTATCGTATTTTTTCAGTTAAAGTTGATTCAAGTGCATTGTTATATGTCAGGTCAATCCATCTGACGTGCTTGGTCCTCCAAGGAAAGGCCGGAAAGCAGGTACATATTTTTATATAGGTCTGCCAATTTTGAGCTTTTCGCAACTCATTCATCCGTGCAAGAAATGCTGATGTTCGTCTCATTTAGTGTTGATATTCATCATATTATCATACTATCGCTTTTCAGTGATTCTTGGAGACACTAGTGACTCCCGGTCACTGCTTGTTGCTGCGAGAGGAGCTGATGTGCTGGTTCATGAGGCGACCGTTATTGAGCAAGAGTCGGACCTTGCTGCTCACCGCGGCCATTCCACAGCATGTATGTTTTATATTTCTGAATTTGCATTGCTGTATCGGTTGAATAACTCTGATTCGGTTTAATAACTTTTATTTCATTCAAGATTGTAACCATTGATTTTGTATTGATTTTTGCAGCTATGGCAGGAAAATTTGCTCGAATGATCGATGCAAAGTCTCTTGTGCTAACTCATTTTAGCGGCAAGTTGGAAGGTTCCTTATATGGTACCTCGGTAAGTTCCTTTCTCTTGAATTTCGTCTGTAAAGAAAAGATTCTGAGTTATCACAAGTATCACTTTACCACATCATGCACCTGAAGGTAGCTAAACAGAGGTGTTCAATTGTACAGGACAAGGGAACAATCCAAGATTTAGTATGGGCGGCCAAACGAACATTTGGGAAGCAGTCAGTAATGGCTGCCTATGACTTCGCAGCGGTCACTGTAGTCCATAACCAAGACCAGCCTGTGTCTAGTTCATGATTGTTGTAGACTGTTCTTAGGCTTCACAATTCCCAACAAGAGTTACCTCTGAAATTCCTAGAAGAATAGCTTGTTTTAGGCTGACTTCATTCTTTGTATCGACCACCTCGTGTGGATTCAACTATGTGAAGGCATTTGCAAAACGTGGAATCATTTTTTATTCTATTTTTTTGTCAAGCAGAAATAATAACCGAAAGTGGCATCATACTCCGCCGCCGCTGTGAGATGCATCGTAACGGTTGCTGAAATCTGTATGCATAGATTTCTGGGGTAGCAAGGTGCTTCACAAGAATGGATGAAAGGAGCATTTTCCAACAACCAACGACCTGCAGTCCTTGGTGAGTACCTTGTAGTAGGTCTTGTAAATGTCTTGTGCTAGGTTTCGCCAGTTTTACTGATCTCATCTCCCTCTGCCAAGTACTTAAGCTTGTGAAGTCATTTTAATTATTTTCAGCTTTAAGGGAAGCCCACCAGGGATAGCATGCATTTTTTGAATGCAAAGTTAGTTGGGGTAGTCTTGTCACATTTCGTTTCGCCTGTAGTCACTCATGGTGAAGTTCAGTTAAATTCAGTTTGCACAGTTTTATATGCATCTAATGTGGCTCACAGTACTCTTAAAGAATACTTGAGCCATAGAACCAGCTGCAGCATTAGTGTTGTGAAGGCCATTCCAGTGAATGTAAGATCCTGGATTTGAGCAAGCTTTTTAATGGACCAATTGCCCGTTCACAATTTCACTCTTTTGGCCTGAAGTTAAACACTCCCCCTCCTGCTCCCCAGCTGATCTTTATATAGTAATTTGATCTATGTGAATTCCACAATGCTTAACAAGGAGGATATTAATTATTTTATGAAGAGCTTGCAAAGAATAAAATAATTTAAGCAAATGCAGCAATTAAAGTTTTATTAGACATGATTTTTTTTTAACAACCCAATTTTGTAAATAAGATGTTTAAACTCAAATGGAAGGACTATGAAATTAACACAAAATGTTTAAATATTACAATAAATAAATAAATATATATGTATATTAAATTTTTTATTTGTAAACCTCTTGAAAGTCAAAACAATGATAGCAACAATAAATATTACTACATCATCCAAAACTATTTAAATGTATAATTAATAATAGAATATTGCTATTTCATATTTATAGTATATTAAAACAGAACATATCCACTCATTTAGAATGGCTGAATGCAAAGTTCATTTCATAAAAGGGACTGTTAAATAGACCCACTCTTGACGAAGAATATGATAATCATAATGAATGTGGTTGGTTTTTATTGGTTGCAGATCCAAGTGGAGAATCCAATAGGGGAGAAATGAATCTAGAGGTTTTTCTTTTTCTTTTCATAATGGGTGGGTCGATTTAATAAAAAACTTGGGTACATTTAACATTCCTCTTTATAAAAAAAAGTAATTTGTTGCTTATTTTTCCACCATGGCATAAAGAAGTAAACAACATTCCGAACACACTCTAAACCACCGTACCTATAGCTTCGGTGTTCCGAGCCTCGAACCGAGTCTACTGACACGTACGCCTGAAAATCCCAGACCTAAAATGGAACCCATCAAAACCCACACAGTGCGATTTTTTTGCTCTCTCGAATGTATTTTTTGCGTCGTAGGGTTGCGGTTTTCCTCGTAAGCACCGTGTTTGTCTAGGGTGATCCTTACCAGGTATCTTAATCGAACGATTTGCCACTTTCGCCCGGTTATAATGTGTAGTCATTCGGGCTGTCTTTGCATTTTGGTGTATAGTTCAGTTAGGTTTCTGATATGAATTGCTAAGGGCCATTTTTTACGCGTCTTAACCATCAATTTGTTGCTCGTTTTTCATGTTGGTTACGAATTCCAGCTTGCATCATGGCGATGCCAATCAAGCCTGGAAAGATCGGAGTGGAGGAGCCTGTTGAGAATGTCCACCGGATCCGAATCACCCTTTCCTCCAAGAATGTGAAGAATCTCGAGAAGGGTAAGCATGCACCACTAATTCCGAAAGTTTATTTTTTTATTTTTTTATTTTTTTTTATATCTTCGTTCAGTCTCACGAAGCTGCTAGGGTAGAAGCTTATGAGTACGTGGGGTGTGTATATTATTATCGTAAATCACTAGTTAGACTAATGCTAGAGATGAAGTTTTGATTTCATGGAGTCTGAGTCTGATTGGACGCCATTCCGCTTGGGAATGGCATTTGGTTTTCAGGGTTTGTGAAAGATTCCCGTAGTTGTACTTCGTAATGTTATGTGTAATACTCAGCTTTATGTCAACGTTGGCCTTAATGACGCAGTGTGCGCTGACTTGATCAAGGGCGCCAAGGACAAGAGACTCAAAGTGAAGGGCCCAGTGCGTATGCCTACCAAGGTGTTGCACATCACCACCCGGAAGTCTCCTTGTGGAGAAGGTGTGCTTTATTCCTGACTAATCTCTTCCCGCAGGTCATGTTTTTGAGCAATTGTGTAGAATTTTTCTGGAAAGTTTACGGTTGACCTTCAAATCATTTGTGAATTTATTATTTCGAGGTTTAGAAGTTTCTGCAAATACGGAGAAGGAATTGAAATCCTTGAAAATCAATTTCTTTTCGATGAGTCCTTTCAAATGCTAGGTCTCTGTCATTCTCATTCAAAAAAGTACTGAAATTCATATCCTTTATGCGGTGTTCTCTCAGGTACCAACACCTGGGACAGATTTGAGTTGCGTGTGCACAAGCGTGTGATCGATTTGCACAGTCCCTCCGAGGTGGTCAAGCAGATCACTTCCATCACCATTGAACCTGGTGTTGAGGTCGAGGTTACCATTGCTGATGTTTAAGCCAGTATCGCATTGTAACATTTCGGTTGCCTTGTCCATACGAATGTCCCAGCATTGAACTCGTAGGAGCACAGTTTTTTTTTAAATGTGCAAATTTTATTAAAGCTATTCCCAATTGCTGCCTGTTACATGGATGCTTTGTCTTGCCGCACACAATCGGTTGTTACATCGGATCTTATCCGCCCATGCCATTTGTTCTAAATCTTTTGCTGAGACGTTGTCTACTGTGATACGGGCGTTGTAAGTCATGCTTACCTGCATTCGGTCTTTTTGTATGAGTTTTAATTGGCAACATCATGTTGCAAATGGTGCCTTGTAATGAGAGTCGCAGCAACTTCAACCACATAATGCAGATGAGGGAACAGGAAGTGATCATTGGATTTCTCAACGGAACAACTTATTCGTGTTTTTCTTGGAAAATTATCAATGAAGTGCTGTAAATGTATCAAGAGTAGACTCATCAAACGAAGCTTCCCTGTAAGCTAGATTCAAGAACTGCTCCGCACAGAATGTTCTTCTGTTGATAGTCAATCAAATCCTCTAGTTAACAACAGAATATCAACGACATTCGTAGCTAGCTGTAAGACACGAGGTTCCTGACCTCTTTTCAAGGTTTTTGTGACTAACAATCCAGTAGTCTTCAGGGTTATTAAAATGCACAGATTGGAATCTTGAGGTTGTAACTGAGTTGCCACACACCTCATGTTGTTTCGTGAGATTGTAGTTATAAATTCACTTCGCTGTGGGATTTATGAAGGAGCAGGGTAGGCCCTTGTTGCCAAGTCAACACAGTCATAAACCGTCTTTACGATGCGTAGATTAATTGCTATCACATCTTCACTTTCGTAACTCAGAGTTACAGGAGCATTGGCTGCTGTTGCACTAAATCAATTCGATAGATATGCCTACATGGATCAATACTTTTGTGTATGTGAACGTTTACAGTTCTGCATTATTAATTATCTAAAGAAATCTGAATCATCTGTGCTCTAACAACAGCTATTTACGAAATTGTTTTGTTGAAGGCGTACGGGTCTATCAGAACAGAAAGTTTAATACCGACTACCTTGTAGCACGGAGACTTCAGTGAAGATAGGGCTTCTGTAGCGCCGAAGTGCCTTCTTTGATTGTTTCGTAAATGCTGCTGCCAACTTTCACCTCCTGATCGTCACTTTTCTTGCCCAGTTTACCTGCATCCTCTCCAATGGTTGAGGTACTCCCAAAGAGGCATTTCAGCGTATCTCGGTGAATCTTATCATTGCAACAAAATGCCGATAAATGCCCCTCTCCCTTAAGTGCGTGAAGATGAACCAGGTCTGGGAGCTACAAGTTTGTGATGCAACATTTGTGGGTGTCAATAAACAGTATTGTACACATGTTGACTTTTGAATAATAGCATAAAGATATAGATGAGCACAACCATCTGAGAAATTGATGAAGACCACCCACCTGTCTCTTGATGATCTCTTGGAGACCTAGAGGCACCAGAACATCTTGATCACCATTGAAAATATGCAATGGGCCTTTATACCGATCTTGCACATCAGATAATTCAAAGCCCCAGTCGCTGGAGATTAGGAGCAAATCTTGAGCCAAGCCCTTGCCCTTCTGCTTAGCACTCATGATACTATCTCTGCAGTGTAACCAAGTATTCAGACAATATCATTCCTCAGCAGAAAGCTCATGCATCCTCAAATACGGAGGCATAGAATCCTAGCAATACAGAGACCTTTACGCAAATTCAAACTTCTGACCTCTCCATGATGTCCGCTGAATATTTTTGCAGATTCTGAGCATCGGGAGGAGATAGTCTGCTCTTTGCGTCTTCCACCCACTTGGTTCCCACGGTAGGTACAATAAAGTAGCGCACATATGCATACAGCATCCACTGCGGCACTTTCCGAATAATTGCATGCGTTTTTCTTGACCTCTCAGTTGTGCTTCCTATCAAAGTGTTCCTCTCTATTTCCGAAATGCCCTGCCAATCCAAGGACAGTTACGATTCTTCTGTGCATATTGAGATATCCACATCGAATTTTAAACGCATTCAATGTGCAGAACTAATGATAAGGCCCACACGTACTTTCCACGAGTAATTCCCGACAGGAGCCCACATTGCAATGCCAGCAATACGTTCCGGAATATAGCGAGCAGCTGCCCAGCAGTAAGCACCGCCACAGGAGTATCCCAGCAAGTATATCCTAGACCCAAGCTCCAGACAGTCAGCGACATGAGCTAAGTCTTTGGCAGCGGACTCAAACGTTTGCTTTGGGTTGAAGTCACTGAAGCCATATCCGGGCCTGTCGATGGCAACGAACCTCACTCCCATATCCTTTAGCAGAGATTCAGAGACACCTGCAAGGAGAACTCTTCAATTGGTGACTTACTTCTAAAAAGAAAGAGTGAAGTCCTGTGTACATACAGGAACGAAATCTTACTACAAGGTCATCTACAAAGAGTGTTGATCCAGAGACACGACCGAGACTGGCTGTTAAGGCACTCATGACAATGCAGTAATCACGTAACGACATTAAGCTGTAGTTGAAGAAGATATGTTGGAATTTCTTTCGTAAAATTGATACAGTAGGTAGCATACTGTTGAGCATAATAACACATTAAAGAGGATGTACAGTACAAACCATGGCATCTTAGGACTTACCAGGCATTCCAGCGACGCGAGAGGAGCCTAAACCATGCAACACTAGCAAGCTCCTCTTGGCAATGTCCTTACCCAGCCCTTGTTCTCTGTATGCAATGCGCCTCCCATCTGGAAGCCCCACGTATTTCACATCCTCGTCCATCTTTGCCGATGCCATAGTTGATGCTACATGCTCAACCAAGTCTTCGTTAGTCTCAAAATCCATTTCATCCAGGAATTGATTCACAGCACCGGTCATGCACAGAAGGATAGTTCACAGACTGCACACTGACTAGGAGCAAGTCACAAAATGAACAGTCTCTCTTCTGAGGATTTACACAGTGCAACAATGTATCACAAGCCTTTTCTTAATTTCGTAGGACACTAATCTTGAATCTAACGCCCATGTTGTATATCTCTTTGAGACGAACGAGATAAAAAACCGAGAATCAGTAGAACAAATTTCCCACCGCAAGGAAATCTAAAACGCACCGACCATGACGAGACCCAAGAAACAGCGAGTAACCCACGAAGATCTCCAATCGAGGAAAGAATTCTAGCCGCCATGCACCACAAATCAAAACCAAATTGCAAAAACATCGAAGATTGCTCTCCCAGCTCATCCACCGTGAGTCCCACATTGCTGCAACCAAAACCCAGCTCAATAAAGAGATGCACATCACAAGAAAAAAATTAGCAGCCAAGCTCACCACAATTGGCTGGCACCCACAACTCAAACGTCCTCGACCTCAAACGATTTGAGACAAACCACTGTCTAGAACTTGAAACGGGCAACTGCTACACCCTCAACTGACTAGCCACCGCCACCAGATGGGTCATGCTCATCACTTGAAATTGATCGAAAAGAAACCTCGGTCACTAGCACCGAAGGACAAACAGATGGGATCTCTCGCCCACCCAATCAAGGATGATTGTAAGGTACTGGTCTTGATTACGATATGAGTAGAAAATGGTCAAGTACTGTTGTGGGGGCACTCAGTTCTCAAGAGAGCGACATTACTTGGAGATTGAATCGGCTTCTCGACAGTAATTTCTTCTTGTACATTGTTCTTGCCACATGTCCATGATGAGTTTCAATCCTTAGCTGACACGTAAAGCAGTTGGATTCGGAAAGCTTTTCAATCACAGAATGCTTTGTGAAATGGAAGCTGTTTAACTGTTTCGAACGACGGAGAAATCGTGCAATCGACCCTGCATTCGCCTTTGTAATTAAGCGACGAAACTTCCACCTGTTAGTTTCATCCAGAGAAACCCCTGGTGCTTCTGCCCTTGGGGTCTTCTACCTTGGGCGAAAGCTTCGAACAATACTCGACCATGCAACTGGATTAGGCTCAAACTTCAGTGCAAGCTTCCATTCTGAAATTGTGGCGCACATCGAAGCAATTGTTGAGTCTGGGGAATTGTAATTTGTTGCAAGAGCTTCAATTAGAGTGCCTAGTAAAGTAAAGCCACGGCTACTTCTGAAAACTAGATTCGACAAAATCGCTGTGACGTTAACAGGGGTTGTTGATGGAATAGACGACAGTGGGCATAAAGGCCGATACAGAGTGGGGCTGGCGCGTACATCATGTTACCATTTTAGTTCAAGAATTTTCCTTGTGCATGCATTGTTCAGTTTCACAACGTGGGTATCAGCCTTTCACAATGTTCATCGATGGAGATCCAGCAAATAATAACCCATCATCGCTATCTCAAAGCCTACTGACAAATCTGTATTCAGTTATTAAATGTATGAACCTGACGGTGCTGAAAGGCCCTGATAGACACGCAACCAGATGTTTCATACTGCACCGGAGGGTGAGAGCTAGAATTTATGGCCACGGCCGTCGCATTCAACTTTATAACGCATCGTTTTGGTGATCTATGCCATTCTGATCCAGAGATGCAGTCCAGATGCACTGGGATATAAATTCCCGCATCATCTCCTCCACAACACATCCTAAGTAAGCCCAGAAGCGACTAATAACCCCGAAGTGACTGTACACATTATTCCATCAAAACAACTGCTTTTGTGTTGATGGAATGTTGTGCAATGTCAAATGACTATAAGCCTAGAAGTGACGAATAACCCCATTTGACATTACAGATTATTCCATCAACAGAAAAAACAATCCCGAAGCCGTCGAATCAGCACAATTAAACTCGGATTTCTCTTCGTCATTCTGTCATTCAGCCACTAGACGAATTTCTTTACGAAGTCATTGCATGCATGATGGCAGATTGGCTCCTACTCGAAGAGTGCGCGTGAGAAAATTAGCCTACAATTTGTGAGCTACCATCACGTCCTGTTGTAAAGAATGTATGAACAGTGGCCGCGTCACACACTTCAGTGTAGGAGTCGGTCGACCTTTTCGATGGATTCCGGCTCAGGAATCCTTTGGCTCCTTGATAGCTTTCATTTTTGTCCTGTTGCTGCTGCAACCTCCCCTAGTTCAAACCTTCCCGTTCTCCGCTCATCCCACCGCGGTATTCTAGCTTCTTTGGCGAATGTTTAGATGGAACTAAGAATACTTTCATTCAGTCTTTTTTTACGCACATCCAGTGTGGCATGGGCTGCTGACTCTAATCTCAGACCGTGTCTCTATTTTTCTACTTTCGTAAACTCAGAACCCTCGCAGATACTCAGCTGAAGGATCTAGGCACATGCCAGGTAGGCAACAATGAACGAAAGCTTTTCAGCGCGTGAATTAAGCAACCGTCTGACAGGTAGCAACTACCTGTCAGGTTAAATGGAGTATGGTGTATTATCAGTACAATGAGTGGATGTGAGTTTGGGTGATACCTTGTTTTATTTTTATCGAAGTAGAAGTGAAGTTTACCTCGTGACAGCTTTGTCAAGGGGTGGGGACGCCAGATGATAGCTGTCATTCGTGGACGTCAAAAACAGCCCTCTAAATCAAACAATTGTATTTTTTTGACATTGTTACAGTTTCATGAAATCCAGGTAAGCTTTATTGATTTGCGGTTGCCCCTGGTGAGACACTACCTCGAAGGTGTATGTGAAACTAATACATTTTTCCACCTCATCGCAATACTTCCAATTGATAAAGTAATTTTATGATTTCGTTATTTTTCTTATTAAATTTTTCATCAAAATACTCATCGAACTTAACAGGTGAGGAATAAAGTAGATGTTGTTTGACACTTAACAATCAACAAATGCTAGTGTTTTTTGAACAACTCTTATCGTAGAAACTCAAAACTTAGAAATCGGAAAACGATAACTGTAGGTAGTATTATACTTGTTTTTGAGTTTATAGATAAATTGGGGAGACTTTAAAAAATATGCATCACATTGATTGGCTGGGAGGGTAAAGAACAGATCCATTCAAACGATACGTTATCTTTCAAACCAACTGGGGCTTCAGAGCTTTGTAAAGCCGCACACATATTTCGAGAAGGACAAGTATATGATAAAAAATTGAAATGGAGATTCCTAATTCAACGGAGCTAGGCAGCAAGACGATCGTGATCGACATGAATATTCGATGCACACATTCAGGCATGAATTGTGTAAGATAACTTGAGCACGAGTAAGATTCATTGCCTTGCACACTCCTGCACATTTACTGTTGACAGAAATGATTTCCTCATTTTAACGTTCGTTTCTAGGACACCCTAAATTGCATCTTTCTAAGTCACAAACCTGCGAATAGAGAGGGATCTCGAAAGTAAGATTGGTTGATGAATAGTTTCGAATTCATTTTCTTCTGCAGGTTGGTTGTGATTCAGGGCGGAGGAATTTGCAACTGTCTCCATGAAGCTTGGCGAGAACATGTGTTGACCAACGACAAACCTCAACAAGGAAAAAGTTCGTAGTCGCAGGTGGTGAGAGACCTTCTCGAGCTTTGTAGGAGTTGTGTCGTTGGTGGACCCAATTGAATATTCCTCAATCAGGGCGGTATTAGGTTGTAGGATGAACATGCTCAGTTTGTCTAGCTAGTAAATCCCTATTGAACTTTGATAGTAGACAAGGATTGGGAGGCAAAAACTTAGTCTTCTGATGCAGGCGGTTGGAAGTCTTGCAGGAATCGGGCACAGGGAAGAGGTGAACGGGAGAATGAGATTGCAAGTGGCACCACTCCACCACGTGCATATTGGTATTTCAATGATCCTCGCACATTAACTACTTTCTAGGTAATTGGAAGGAAACGAATCATGCCATTTATGGCTTCTCATGGCCCCGGGAATCTGCTCACAGATTGGAGCTCGCAAGCAAGATTCTTAGTCGACGGACTACCAAATACATCCAGTCAGTTCTAAACCGTTTCCCTATCTCCTCTCACCCTCGCTTGTGGTGAATGAGTTCCGAGGACTTAGACGGGGGTGCATAAAAATTGGTAGAATCTAGTTTGCAACAGCAGCGGTGGAGCGGAAGGGAGTTGGGGGGTACAAAATCGCCGATTCCCGGCCTTGGATGCTAACGACAATTTTGTGGACTAAACAGGAGGGTCCACCAACGGCGAAGTTGCATTGCCGATTCCATCTCGGACTCGCTGTTGGCAGTTGTAAATGCTAGGAAAGTCTTGACCTTCACGATTCTGGCATTTTTCGGTCTGTCACGTAGGTACAGAGGATCCACGGAGGTCTTTGGGAATGTGTGACAAGGGTCCTATATAAAGGTTGTTGTAGGGCCTTAGTGGAGGAGATTCAGGTGCGTATAAGTTGATCATCCCAACAGCATGCGAGTCATTCCGCTCCGGTCTCAGTTCCCTTTGCAGTGCAGGTGCAGAGACGCTTAGAGTGTAGCATCCGGCTCCTCAACACGGAGAGTCTGTAACGATGGCTCCTTGCAACTTTGCAGCCATAACAGCAGGTGCGGAGTACTACTTCAATGACCCTTTGACGGGCGAGTGCACCCGACAGTCTAGTTACTTTGGTGGGAAGGCTTTCCTCTCTCAGGGCGTTGGCTATGCTGTCGTGTTGGGATTCGGCGCACTCTTTGCAGTTGTGACGTCCTTCCTGGTACGTACGCCCAAGTCGAGGAAGATTGTCCCTGAAGTTTGAATTTCGATCTGTACTGCTCAGTCACACCCAATAATCGCTTTACCATGAGTGTAACAAGAGTTGTTGATGTTGGTGGTGGTGGACATGCAGGTGTGGTTGGAGCAGCGTTTCGTCTACTCCAAACACAATTCGGAGTGGTTTAACACGGCTGGACGGAACATCAAGACAGGGCTGATCGCCAGTGTCATCGTGTCACAGGTATGGATCATGTGCACGAGGAATCGAATGTGTAATTGTGCCTTTGCAGTCTAGCAGTTCTCAAATTGCAACTGTGTTGTAATGAATTTTCGTGATTCTCCGTTGTGATGGTGGCCTGGGGTGGATGTGGTGCAGTGGACATGGGCTGCAACCATTTTACAGAGCTCCAACGTGGCGTGGCAGTACGGAGTTAGTGGGCCTTTCTGGTACGCTAGTGGCGCCACTGTGCAGGTGCTGTTGTTCGGTGTGTTGGCAATTGAAATCAAGAGGAAAGCGCCCGCTGCCCATACCATCTGCGAGATTGTTCGCGCTAGATGGGGAAAAACGGCGCATATCGTCTTTCTCTGCTTCTGTTTCGCCACCAACATCATCGTCACAGCTATGCTTCTTCTTGGAGGGTCTGCTGTTGTGAATGCTCTCACGGGAATGAACTTATATGCCGCAAGTTTCCTCATTCCTCTGGGAGTCGTTGTCTACACCCTGCACGGAGGTCTTAAGGCCACATTCTTGGCTAGCTACCTTCACTCCGTCGTTGGTAAGTTACTTTGCGATCCTTTCTCTTGACAATCGAAATTCGCAACATTGCGCTTCGGGTTTTTCTACGGCCGGTTGTGCTTCCTGGAGACATTGTTTACAATAAGGGTGGATTGTCTGCCTTCTTGCAGTGCACGTTGTGCTCGTGGTGTTCGTCTTCTTGGTATATGTGAAGAGTGACAAGCTTGGAACTCCCAAGGAAGTCTACAATAGGCTTTACTCCGTGTCGCATGATAGAGATTGCACTCCTCCTCTCAACTTCGACTCCCAGGCGTGTGGACCTGTCGCGGGCAATAATGGCGGATCCTACCTCACCATGCTTAGCACTGGAGGTTTGGTCTTTGGTATCATCAACATTGTTGGAAACTTCGGCACAGTGTTTGTGGACAATGTACACACCCAGATCCTCTGCTACTGAAGTTCTGTACTAGCTCTCATCGTGCCGCTTCGATCTATCTCAAACTATCTTCCAGTGAACTAATCAATTATGTTTGTGCCCTGTGTGTGAACAGGGGTACTGGATGAGTGCCATCGCTGCTCGCCCCACCTCTACACACAAGGGTTACCTGCTCGGAGGATTGGTGTGGTTTGCCGTGCCTTTTTCCCTGGCTACCTCTTTGGGTCTTGGATCACTGGCTCTTGGTCTGCCCCTCACGGCCGATGAGGCTAATCATGGTCTCGTTCCCCCTGCTACAGCTACGGCACTCATGGGCAAGAGCGGCGCCGTTCTTCTGCTTACCATGCTCTTCATGTAAATCCCCTGTTTCCTGCCCTCTGAAATTTTCCTTTCGACTAGCTCACGGTTATTTTTCATCATGGTAGCTTGATCCTTGTGGTTGTGAATTAGTTCCTGTTTGTTCCTCGACTTGTATTGAAATGAAGATGGTGTGTGCACACATGTAGGGCTGTGACTTCTGCAGGATCGTCAGAACTGATTGCATTCTCCTCCCTCTGCACTTACGACATCTACCGCACCTACATCAATCCCAAGGCCAATGGGAAGCAAATTCTGTGGGTGTCAAGGTTGCTCGTGTTGCTGTTCGGGTGCTTTATGGGCGTTCTGGCTATCGTGTTGAACAAGGCGGGGGTCTCCTTGGGCTGGATGTACTTAGCCATGGGAGTGTTTATCGGGTCAGCCGTCATTCCCGTGGCCTTCTTGCTCCTGTGGAGGAAAGCCAATGCCAAGGGTGCCATTGCCGGGTCTGTCATTGGAATGCTGGCGGGAGTTATCACATGGCTCACCGTGACCGAGGTGATGTACAAGCGCGTCAATCTGGACACCACGGGCAGGAACGCCCCCATGCTCGCGGGCAACTTGGTGTCCATTCTTACAGGAGGCGCCGTTCACGCCATCTTCAGCGTTATTTCTCCCCAGAACTATGACTGGAGCACCACCAAGCACATCACCATGGTTGAGCAAGACGCATCCGACGTTCCGGAGGAGGAGTACAACGAAGAGAAGCTGAAGAAGGCCAGGAGTTGGATTATCAGGTGGGGCATTGGCTTTACCATTCTGATTGTCATCATCTGGCCCCTCATGGCTCTACCTGCTAAGGTGTTTTCGGAGGGTTACTTCACGTTCTGGGCCGCCATCGCCATCATCTGGGGTACAGTAGGCTCTGCTGTGATCATCATCATGCCCATCGTCGAGAGCTGGGAAACAATCTACCTCATTATCTTGGGAATGATCTGTAGATCCCCGGCCAAGGTGCCCAAGCACATCAGTGACGAGAAGACAACTGCCGGTTAATTGGTAATCGCGACCTAGGCTTATTGTTTCCCGATTGTGAAGTTCAAAAGCCAAGCCGCAGGAGCGTGTGCAAAGGCTGTGAATGGAGGAGGTTTGTTGTCCCTTGTGTTTTATATTTTCAAGGTACCTTCTCGGACCCCTAGTGGTTGTACGCTCTCAAGGTGAACCTGGTTTGATTTGGCAACGAAGGATAGCGTGACTTGTCACAAGTTTGTGTAGAAGTACCATGGCATTGCTCCTGGAGCTTGTAGAGTAGCATCTGTACCAGAGGAAAATACCTAAACCAAAGGATTGTTCATACGATGCGCCACCTATCATTGCAAATTGATCGTTTGGGTCGCTGTGATTGTGCCATTTGCAAACGTGTTTAAGTCTTTCAATAAACTGGACGCATCATTCATGACATTCTTTGTTCCACTAAGTTACTTCTTCAGCGTTCAACCCAAACCAAGACCATCTAAAGCCTGTTTCTCTGGTGCCCAGAAAATAGATGCTGGTCATTGGTAAATTTGCATGCATTTGAAATTGCTGCTCATTCGTTTATTACAAGCGGAGCACTCGTGGCCTCTGGACAATTTCAATACTTAGATCTTATGCCCAGACTAGAACCATCACCAGTGAAAAATCTCCCAGAAGCTTGAATGAATATTGACATTCAAATAATCTGCGGAACAACTCGTTTAGGAATCTCAAACAGATGGTGCTCGAATGCTGCAAGTTTCTGGCCACTTAGCCTGAAATTTTCGATCGATTCTGTCTCGAACAAGTTGGTATATTTATATATTTTTTTGTTTTTATCGAGATATCATATTTGAGGCGTTGAACCAGCCGTAATGCTCCACTTCTAATCAACTCCAAAAAAGCCCCAAATTGCGTATTATTAACAGTATAAAAAACAAATACACATTTTTGTTTTCAAGCCAACTCTAGAGCTTGAGGATGAGTTAGGAGCAATAATCCTGACCTCTAGTTACCATGACATCCACTCCCAGTGCGAAGCGGCGAGTATCATGACTTCGTCGTCTCATCGGAGAAAGGCTAATCAATATCCGATCGATGAAAATACCGAGTAAGTTAAACACAAAATCACGTGGAGGAAATGGAAGTATTTGTGACCATCAAGAGCACCAAGAAATACGTAGATGCAAGAACCACCTACCTGAGAAACTCTACCCCCAAAAGATTTTTCTCCGAATGACAGTACTGTCCTCACAGCCAACCCCTATGAAATTCACACTTACCATCACTGACATCCAAGGCGGTTATTCTTCACCTCGACACCGACTCTACCCTCACCTGGACCCGATAAATCCAAACAAGCCAACTTGGGTTCCACATTCCGAGACAAGTCCCAACTCAGGGGATAATCAAAAATTTTAAAAGCACAGTTTTTATTCATCATCGAGAGAGGACAGCCCACGACGGACTACAAGTTGCAACAGCGTTCTTTTCGAAATGAAAATGAGTGAAACAAAGACTGGGCCGCAATGAAGCGCCGGAGGAGCTCTCACGTCTGTGATGAGCCTATCGTGCGCAGATCTTAGATCCATTGTGGCCAAGGGCAACTTGTGGTCCAATTCGTTCTGTGCTCTAGGATGTGCCTGGAGATCTATCTTGTGAAACTTGGTAAACGAGATTCTGAGATCTAGAACGGTGTGGGACTGATTTTTTGAGATTAGGGTTAGCTGGACCTAAGGTCTTAGTATCATGGAGGGCAAAATGTCTTACGCAGATGCTCTATGCAAGGGAATAGCCCGTGCCCCAGTGGTCCTTACATGCTCTGAAGGCGACAGGGGCCGTACACAAGCGATGCGGGACGAGGAAATTGAGCCTGAGGTTGTTGCGGCAGTCACGAGCATGGGGAAAAATGACAAGATTCACCAATTGCATGCAGTTCCAGGGGAAGTTCTCCCTGAGAGTTTTTCACGCAGCTGCACAGGGTTCCTCCTTTGTCATACTGTGCTAGAGGTCGAGGTGGACCAAGCCACTGTCAAGAAAGACAAGTACCTCCAAAAACACCCGATCGTGGCTTATTTCGTAGGAGGTAAGCAATCTCCATCGGTCATTCCAAGTTGGGTTGACTCATTGCAAAAGCAGGTGGGGGATTGGGTAGGAGCAAGCCGCAATCTAGGTTGCGGCTTCTTTCAAATCATGAGTTGCCAATCCACTACTAAAAAAATTCTTATGCTTACGCCCCATAAGTCCCAATAAAGAACTTGCATCCTTCAGTCTTGGACCCCTGGCTTCAATGCCACTTGGTCCACAGGCTTAAAAGTTCCTATATGGGTCACTCTTAAGAATATTCCAAGCGAGTTTATAGGGGTGGCTACTCAAATGGCTAGTAGCATAGGCGAATTGTTGGGAAGGAACAAGCACAATGCTTCTTCAACAGACGAATGTTTATATGTTGGACTTTCCTTCAACTCAAGTTGGAAGACCTTCTGGTTTGTCACGAATGTTGGGATTAGGGAGAAAAAGCCATTATCATAATCAACTACTATAATCTCTCTATTTGACAATGACAAGTTCAAGTTTGTGGAAGAACTTTTGTATTTTAAAGATTGTTTACATATTCTAGAAGGACTAGTGTGACTTCATGTTCTTCAACCTTGTCATGATTTTTGAGTTGTAAGACATTTTGGGTTTAACAAAACATTGGAGCTTATCTCTCGAGATTTTTGGTGGCTTCAAATGTAAAAGATCCTTGTCATATTACGTAAAGCCTTGCTTGAGAATGCACCGAGCTCCTAGCTGTAGAAGGTAGAAGGAAAATTGTGACAATAAGATTCTAAATCTAATCAAATCCTAAATAACTCCAATTAAACCTTAATAATTTTAATAAAGCTTTAATCAAATCCATAGAAACCTCAAAAAAATTATGAAAGAAGCATAAAGAAATCGTAAAGAAATTCAAAATCTGAATGTTGAACTTTCAGTGTCAATATCTCCTTCAAGAACCATTGAATTTCCTTTAAAAGACATTTAAACTATTAGAAATCAAGTCTAGTTTCTACACAAAAAAATTCATTCCAATCCAATTAATAGATTGCTAAAGATCTTAAAAATACTCATTGACCCTTGAATTCCAATTCTTAAGACCTCAATCCACAATAAACTTCACACACTTTGATCTAATTGTTCAATTGGCGTCAAAATTTGCACACACACTAATAACTAGAATACCAACATACTGCCGAAAATTCACCTATACAACCATCACAGATATCAAGAAACCCTCAATTTTATAAACATAATTTTTTTTTTAAAATCTAATCTAACTAAGAAAATCACTAACTTTGAAAATCTCCCAAAAACTGAATATTAACTTCATTGACATAAAACCAATACTTAAAAATTTTCTTTTGAATTTTGCCCTCAAATCCTACTCTCTAATCCATCAAAGAACCTTAGAATCACCAAAAGTATGCGATGTTGTATCTAAAGATCTGATTTTGACCCAAGTTGGTAACTGGTGTCATATCATGTGTTTTTTTTTGTTTAAAAATGCACTAAGCATCTTACGATAGAAGGTAGAATTATATTTTATAAGTATCCAAGAATTCTAATATGTTTTACTTTTATAAAAAGAATATAATTTAAATTTTAATTCAAAAGTGCTTAAATCTAATATAAAGTGTTCAAAAATACTCTTCTTAGTAATTTCAACTATATATAAATTCCAAGTGCCTTATTACTTTCATAATTAGGTAATTTTGAATTTTTTTTGTAAGTCCTAATCTTAATCAATAAGCTTTAGTGAGTTGTAGCTTCTTATCGAATTGTCGACTTGGAGAAAAATTTTGTACATAAATACTACTATAAGTCTTCTATGTACTCAAAAGAATTCATCTCAATCCAACTTACAAATCGTGAGAAAATGCCCAAAAACCACATTGATATTATTTGGCCGTCAACTTAAAAGTTGATGTAAATGTTCCAACAATGATTTTTTCTTCTCTAACTGTTAATTTCAACTCAAAATTGGTATCTAGCTTGATCTTTAAGTTTTCTAATACTATGCCAAATTTCACTTTGATCTGACTAGTAGATCTTTAGATAGCATAGAAAACCTATCCAGCTCTAAATTACCAACTCCTAATATGTTCTTGTATGAAAATCCAGATATCTTGCAACTACATGTCACGGACACAAAATACAGACTTGAAATCTAACAAGAAGTTCAAGAAGAAGTGGCAGAACTAGATTAAACAGATGAGTACAAGAACAACACCAGAAATGTGAGCTAGAACTCCAAGAGATGTATTGTCGAGACTGAAGAACCCTTCAGCCTCGACTCCTATATATACTACTGAATAGGAAGCTTCTCGAGCTACTTCCGCTAACTAGGACGCTTCTCCAACAACTTCTACTAATTAGGAAACTTCTCGAGCAACTTCCTAGAATCTATCAGAATATTCTAGAACCTTCTAAGAGAATCTTTAGGGAATATTCTAAGAATCTTCTAGAACCTTCTAAAAGAATCTTTAGAGAATCTTTAGAGAATCTTTAGAGAATATTCTAGAAGAATATTCGAAGAATCTTCCAATGTATGTCCATGACATCACCTCCTCTTCTAACTTCGAGGTCTCCGAGAAGCAATGTTGTTATCAGTCAATACCAACGCAAGAAAATGAAAATCTGTCGCATCACATCCGCTATGAATTCCAATTGTTGTTCGCGAGGCAAATGATTCATCGGCCCTTGGAGCCAACGGTAGTGACCAACACCTTCAACCTCTGACCAAGCGTGGACTTCTGTGTCTTCATTGTGAAACTGTCCTCCAAACACACCTTCTGGCTGACCGTCGTAGGCAGGCTCGACCTCAAATACAATTACTAGCGATCTGTTGCTCGGTATCCTCCGACATCGTCGTGGTGCAGGCGGTTCTTCATCTCGCGGTCGTCTTCGTGAGCTAGTCACTTGAGATGACATAACAAGTGTAGTATCTTGACTATCCATGTCCAAAGGCTAAAATGATGAGAGCAAACTATAGTTGCTAACAAAGTTCTACACTATCGAACTATGGGTTTTGGAGGTGCCCTCCCCCCTTTTTATGCTACTTGATGAGCAAGCTTCAGCAAGAAGCTATCGTTGAATCGGCTTAGGTTTATGAGGATATCGTTGATGAAATTCTTGTACCTTTTTTGGTGCATTGGCAAGATTTTCGGCACGCTCCCACGTTCGTTCATTGATGTCGTATCCACTCCAATGCACTAAATACTCCAATTTTCTCCTATTACGCCGTGAATCTAGTACCTTTTCCACCTCGTATTCCTCATGGTTTTCAATTTCGATACTTGGTGGCGGACTTTGTACTCTTTGGGAAAAAGCTGACTCTCGATAAGGTTCCAACAAAGACACGTGAAAGACTGGATGTACCTTCATAGTAGCTGGTAACTCCAGAC